ACCGCTGCCGTCGCACGCTGGGCCCGGCGGCGCCCGGCACAGCTTGCGCGCGATGCGTGCGTACAGAACCACCAGGAGCGCCATGGGCACCAGGTAGACGTGCGCGAAGAGCACGGCGGTGTAGACTTTGCGCATGCGCTGCTCGGGCCACGCCTCCCAGCAGGAGTAGAGCGGGTAGGAGCGGTTGCGCGCGTCCAGCAGAAAGTGCCGCTCCTCGCGGGTGACGGTCAGCGTGGCGGCCGACGGACACATGATGAGCAGGGCCAGGGCCCAGATGACCGCGATGGAGAGCAGCGCCTTGCGCACCGTCAGCTTCTCGCGGAACGGGTGCACGATGCAGCGGAACCTGCAGCACCCCTCCCGGGGTGGAGGAGAGAGGAGATGGTAGAAAGGGCGTGGGGAGGGGTGGGGGAGAAGGTAGTGGGGAAGGGGAGCAGAGCTAACCTCGGGAACGGTTGGTGGGATGGAGATACCGGATGGATGCTTGTGATCTCTCACTTTGGGCATGGCTCAGATACTGCACACGGAGGAATTTGCCAGCAAATGGAAGGCAGCTCACCCCTCTAATCCCCCCTCCCCCTCCCACATTGAGTGGTTAAGAAACCAAGGCAACCACACGGTTTAAAGAGATGGGACCGAGGGAAAGAGCCAGCCTGGGAAGAGGGGAACCTGTGTGCGCGCGCGCACTTCTGGCGATAAAATGTTAGCCGACAGCAGGCAACACACTCAATCTGTGGCATTCGTTCTGTCTTTGGGAAAGCTAATTCCACCTACCAGCAAACACAACTGTTTAGCTGGTTAAGGATGCCCCCTCACTACCATCTGGGAGCTGGGAGCTGGGGTGTGAAGCCTAAGTAAAAGGCTGTCCCTGTGCCATTTCAGCCAGCCAGCACCCTTCCGTACCTGAAGAGAAGTCTGCTGAAGGCCAAACAAAGGCCTTTCTGCTTCACCTGTACCCTGTGCTCTTGCCATCCCTTTCCCCAGCCTGACTGCAACTAGGCTGCCTCAGTGGGTTTGACCTTGGCCTTCTGGCTTCACAGCTCCACACATTCCAGAAAACACCAGAGAACAAGTAACACCTAAGACTTGTACTAGCCAAGTGTGATGATCATGCCTATAAATCCCAGCACTTAAGAGGCTAAGCTAAGGTAAGGAGTCCGGAAGAGTTTAAGACCAGTGCAAGCTTCATAGAGAGACCCACTTTAATGAATTCGTTAATTAATTTAAACGCATGCAATACTTGCAGTAAGTACAATAGCACTTAATGGGTGGGGGAGAATCCTGGGGTAGTCTAGGAAGGCTTCTTGAAGAGGTAGAGCTGGAAGAATCCTGCAAGCCAGCGCAAACCTTGGGTGAGGGTGCACCTCTCATATCACTCAACAATGTCAACAAAACAAGGATTGTCAACAAAGACTGCTCACATCACCCAGACAGGTAGTGAATTTGAGGTTAGAGGAACCTGGCTTCATCATGCCAGCTGCCTATCTCACTGAGTTGATGAGAAGATGAGGACACTAGATTGTAGAAGGGGCAGGGCTGAGAAGGGTTCATGATGAAGAGGGGACAAGGAAGAGGATGTGGAATTAGGCAAGAAACAAATAACATTAGCGCTTGATATTTGTGCTCTGAGCCAGAAGCTGTGCCCAAGCTGCACAGATAGAATTGTCCAAAGCCTTCGCCACCCTGTAGAGTTTTTACCATTTTACAGATAGGACTGAGGGGGCTCAGTAACTAAGTGAACTACCAGCAACACACGGTGAGGCAGTGGTGGGGACAAAAGACAAACCTGCTCCCTATTGCCTGGAAGGCAGACAAGAGACTTCAGCTGCACTGAAGATGCTGAGGATGAGGACTAAGAAGTCAATGCCATAGGAAGATTCACAGGCTCGATGCGGGTCCAAAGGCCTTCTGGATCCCATCCCATGTCTTTGGCCACATGTACAAGATTGTACTTAGTCAAAGATCTGCAGGAATTTGAAGCTGAGTAACCTAGGAATGCTGGAGATGGGGACTGAAAGCATAGACTTCAGCGACTAGCAAGGAATTATGGGCTAGAGTGATGATGCAGGGCAAGAAGCTCCTTCCCAGGCTCCTAGCTCTGACTCCTGAGGCTGGGGTCAGACTATGGGAGGTGGGCGGGATTCCTCCCTCAGGATGAGGGCCCCCTCAAAGCTCCTCCCAGGTCCCCCAAGAAGCCACAGCAAGCTCCCTCAGAAGGCCTCCAGATCTTCCAGAAATGGGTGGTGCTGTTGTTATCAGGTCCCTCAATTCTGAGGGGCAGCCAGTCCAATCCTCACCTTTATGGCTCAGGATTCAGTCTTACCTGCAAAAGAGTGGCCCCGCCAGTATGGCATGGGAGACAGTGGCTCTCAGTGCTAGCCCCACCCTCAGGGAAACTCACCTTTCCACTGCAATGGCCACCAGTGTGAAAACTGAAGCGGACACAGACATCCCCTGCACCAAGCCGCTCATCTTGCACGTGGCGTTGTCGAAGGGCCACCCTGCAATGACAGAGGACCCCCATGGAATGAAAGAAGCTTGGGAATCTTTCCTCCTTGTCTTGCTAGGGGTCATGCAGCCTCTGCTCACCTACATCCAGGAGAGAGGAACTGACCAACCTGAGCCATTTTTAACTATTAGAACATTGGCCCAAATGGGCCCAAATGGCCCATTCTCTTGACCCATTTCTCTCCATGAGCATTCTCTCTGTCCCTGCCTGGCTTTCTGCTTCCACAGTCCTGTTTAGGTTTGAGGCCATTTCATCCTCACACTTGAGTTGTCAAGAAAAGGGAAAGGGGATGATACTAGGATGGTTCTTACCATGTAGGTCCAGATGGTCTCAAACTTTTTTTTTTGGGTCCGGTCGTGGGGCCTGAATTCTGGGCCTGGGCGCTGTCCCTCAGCTCTTCAGCTCAAGGCTAGCACTCTACCACTTGAGCCACAGCGCCACTTCCGGCTTTTTTCTTTTTGCTTATGTGGTGCTGAGGAATCGATCCCAGGGCCTCGAGCATGCAAGGCAAGCACTCTACCACTGAGCCACCTTCCCAGCCCCGGTCTCAAACTTTTAATCCTCCTGCTTCCTTCCACCTTCAGAGTGCTGGGATTATAACTGTGTACCTCCACACCCAGCTCATCACTTATGGCCTCTTTGTCCCTAAATCACTGTAGATTTATAGTAAGAGTCCAGCCTAGATGCAGGGAAGTTGAAGTCACAAAAGCTAGCACTTCCTTAGACAGCAAGCTGGTTCTACTTTGGAAAACTATGTACTGTATGTGCCAACTCTCTGGCCATCAATTCCTCTCAAAGTTATATCCCAAGGGCATCTTAGTACATACAGTCCATAAAAATCTTCACTACAATTTGTCATGATGGAGACTTGCAAACAGGGGGAGGCTGGTAAATTAGCTTTAAAAACAAAGCAACACCAAACCAAACCTCAAAGCCCTGCTTTGTAGCATTTGCCAATTTGTGTATTATAAATCTCCTTGCTTAGCAAAGTTCAACTTCACCCAATGCAGTTGGGAAGAAGTGTGCAATTGGCTCAATGAGCTGGTCTAAGATGGCTCTAGCTACTCAGGAGGCTGAGACCTGAGGATGGCAGTTTGAAGCCAACCCAGGCAATGAAATTACTTGCCCAAAAGCTAGAAGTAGAGCTTTAGCTCAATTGGAGCCAAGGGGTGCCAACCTTGAGTGGAAAAGCTAAGCAATGGCATCCAGGCCCTGAGTTCAAGCCCAGTACCAGCACCAAAAAATTAAAACAGGAAACTATTGAACACAATCAGTACAACCCAAGATCGCAATTGGACACCTGGACCAGACAGTGCTAGACTTAGCCCTGAAAGACAACCCAGAATACCATAGAGACCAAAAATCTCTGAACTTATCCAAAATCATATTCCTGGAATCAGATCCTGAAAGCCACAATTAAAAAAAAAACACAATAAAAACCTCTCTTTTGACAGGGGAAACATAGACTGGAGGAGGTAGTAAGCTGACTATTGGGGAGGGTATTATCACATTGCTAGCTGTCCACCGTCACTTGTGTCCTATCAGAAAGCACGGACACCTAGCAGGCTACAGAGTACCAGCATTACTTTGGATGTTGCTAGAAGAGATCAGCTATGAGCCTGAATAGACTAGGCAGGGAAGATCCACCAGGTGAAAGAGAATGAATGTGAAGACACTCTCAGAAGATAGCCAGGCCCGCAAAGAAAACAAGCAGCCATTATTTTTAAATACAAGACTTCAAAACATTGTTAATGACCATGAAAGTCAGTTAGCCCATGGGGAACACCTCTGTATATTGCTCATAATTGGTCCCTGCCAAACATTTTTTCATAGGATTTGGGGTTTTGTTATTTTGGTATGGTTTCAGTTTTCTTTTTTGGTTTTTATTTTTTTAATGCTTTCTCACTATTTTTTTTTTTTGGTCCAGTCATGGGCTTGAACTCTGGGCCTGGGTGTTGTCCCTCAGCTCTTCAGCTCAAGGCTAGCGCTCTATCACTTGAGCCACAGTGCCACTTCCGGCTTTTTTTTCCTGCTTATGTGATGCTGAGGAATCGAACTCAGGGCCTCATGCATGCAAGGCAAGCACTCTACCACTGAGCCACCTTCCCAGCCCCTCTCACTGTTTTAAATTGTTGGTGTTTTTATTGCTGTTAATTGTGTGGTTTGTTTACAATTCACCATGCCATGCATTTTATCTTCTTGTCATCTCCAATACTGGAGGTAGAAATTGTGATGAGTTTTACAGTTCTCTGTCTCTATACACACACACACACACACACACACACACACACACACA